CGCAGGAGACGTGCCCAGCCCCTGGGGCCTGATCCTGCCACGCAGGAGCCCAGAGCGAGGTGATGGCCGGGCATGGGGGAAAGTGTGAGCCATGACAGCTGTCCTGGTCCCCATCCTTGTCCCTCCTTCATGGCCAGGGTCAGATGTGGCACTCACAGCCAGCTCAGTGACAGTTCTGCCCCTGTCTCAGCCTGACGCTGTCCCCTTGTTGTCCCTGTCTCAGATGTGCCGGGTCCAGCTGAAGCACTGTGGGTGTGAGGAAGGCAGTGCAGCACCATGACTGCAGCACAGGGGGTTCTCCTCCGCCCCATCACCATGGGACTGCTCCTGCAGAGCCTGTTCCTCTTCCTCCTCCTCCTCCTGGGCTCCTGCCTCCACCCAGCCGCTGCCTTCCCCAAGGGCTGTTACCCCTCAGAAGAGGAGGGGCTGAAGACCTTTCGCTGCAGCAACGCTCAGCTGACCGAGGTCCCCAGGGACATCCCCAACGACACCAACAAACTCTACCTGGACTTCAACCAAATCCCCTTCCTGCCTCGCGATGCCTTCCGGGACCTGCCACTCCTGCTGGAGCTGGATCTGTCCCACAATGCCATCGCCAGAATTGAAACTGGGGCTTTCCAGGGCCTGGCAGAGCACCTGCACTCCTTGGACTTGTCTTCCAACAGGCTGGTGTCGGTCAGCAAAGACGCCTTTAGCAACCTGAAAGCCAAGGTGAACCTGTCCAACAACCCCTGGCTGTGTGACTGCCGGCTGCAGGAGCTGATCCGTGCCGTGGAACTGGCGGCTGAATCCTCGGGGGGCATCGTGTGTGACTCCTCCACGCAGGAGGAGCACGTGGGCAAAGCTTTCCTGCAGGTCATTGCTGACACAGATCTCTGCAACGTGTACAAGAAGACCACGGACATCGCCATGCTGGTCACCATGTTCGGCTGGTTCGCCATGGTGATTTCCTACCTGGTTTATTATGTCAGGCAGAACCAGGAGGACGCCCGGCGACATTTGGAGTATCTCAAGTCACTGCCCAGCAAACAGCGGCGGTCAGAGGAGTCGTCCACCATCAGCACTGTGGTGTGAGCACAGCATCCTGCAGGACATGGGCACCGTGTGGAGCTGGGCACCGGCCACTGGCATCACACAGAGATACTCCTGGGTTTGTTCTGTTCTCCTCCTGGAAGCAGCAGCCACAGCTGATGGGTCCCTGGCTCGGTGGCTCAGGTCAGGGATGGGTATCAGATATGAACATGGAGGATCTGCAGCATCTTCCCAAGTTATGGAGGACTGGAGCAACCCAGAGCATCCCCCTGGCATGTGGCCATTGCTCTGACTGACTTGGACATTTGGACTTCATCTCAAACTTTTTATATTTCCTTTGCAGAGATCCCTTGGGGCGTTATGGAATCGGTGTTTTCATCTCTCCCCGGCTCCCCCTTGGCTGCCCAGGGGATGGTACGGCAGCCCAGGGCAGCCTGGGCCTGGATCCCTGCTGGGAGGGCACTGGGGAGGAGCAGTACGGCTGCAAGGCCAGTGTCCTGCCAGGTCACTGGCCCTGGAGGGTCAGCGGGACCAAGAGGTGGGGCAGGGGGTGGGGACACACCGGTTGGTGCCGCCCCATCTTCCGTTTCATCTCCCTGCCCCTTTCCCGGCGCTCAGGCCAGGTGGGGCAAGGGGCATGGGTGTCACCACTCGGACATGGGCAAACCCAGGACCTTTCTTGGAGTGTGGGGAATGAGAACCAAATGGGGAATGAGCTCCTTTGGGGCTGCCAGGGATGTGGGTGCTGATGGAGGGGCACCTGGGGGTCCTGGCAGTGGCTTCAGCTCTGCTGGGACATTTGGGGAGTGGGGGTCCCCTGGGTGCTCTTGGGGGCCATGAGGGAGGGTGCTGGCAGCACCCTTGGCCATCTGCTGGTGTCCCTGCCGGAGGGGAGCTCCCACCTCACAAGCTGCTGACCGGTCACTGTGATGGGAAGCAGGATGGAGGGAGCTGCCACGGCTGCTCTGTCCTCTCCCCACCCCTGCACTGCTGTCAGGAGCCTGAATCTCCCCTAAAATATTCCAAAGTCCCTTCTTGACATTTCCAGTGTTGGGCTGCGGGTTCCTGGTGGCAGTGGTGGAGGCGATGCTGAGCACAGGGCTGGCACAGGCAGGGGTCAGTGCCCACTTTTGGGCATGCAGGGCCCAAATGGCAACTCAGAGCAAAACCAGAGCAGCCCCAGACTCTTCCACCTGCTTGTCTGGCCTCTGGGAGATCTGGTTTTGCTGGTTTTGGCCTTTTTTTAAACCAACCAATGCTAAATTGCCTTAACTCACCAAGAGCACCAACCAAAGCTGCTGGAAGCTCCTCTGTAGCGGGCCAGAGCTGCCTTGTGGGCAGGCCCTGCCTGTGCCACCCTCGTGCCCCGGTGCTGGTGGGAGCAGGAGCAGGGCCCGCCCTTCCACAAGTGCCTGATTCCAGCACAGAGCAGGAGCTCTGCAACGCACAAACACCTCAGCCCCAGCTCCCATCCGGGCGTCGCCGCAGCCCCACGGCAGCTCCTCCCCTCTCTGCAACCGGCGGAGGAGAAAAGGGGCTGGGGAGGACCCGACTGAACCTCCCAGGCTGCTCCCCCCAGGCCACCGCTTGTGCCGGGACCACCCGACCCATCTGTGTTTGGGTTAAGGGACATTTTAGTTCTTTATACGACAATAAAGTTGGCTTTTACTTTGGAGCCGGTGGGCGGCGTGTGCTGCTGTGTGTGTCTGTGGGTCACCGGGCCCTGGTGACGTTGTGGCAGCAAAGGAAGGACGGAGGTGCCCGCGACAGGCGGTGGCAGAAACAGGACACCCGTCCCTCCGGTAACCCTGCCCCAGCCTTCAATAATGAACAGCCCGGCTCGGCTCAGGTCGCTGGCACGGTGCCGGTCCCCGCGGCACCCAGGACACCGTGGGGCGCTTTCCCAGGGCTCTGCTCCGCTGCCTGCCCTGCCGTGCCCATCGCGGGCTACCCGGGCAGGGAGGGACGAGCCCTTCCAACCCCATGGTCCCCACAAGAGGCCTCTCCGGTCACAGCCCCGTCCCCGTTTGCCGGCGCCTCTCCCCGCGCGATCCGTGCTGGAGTCTTGTGCCATGGAAGGTGAAAGCCGGGCCCTAACGCAGAGTGACAGCTCCCGCTCGTGGGACATTAACCTTGTTTGTCACTCGGCTGTCTCCAGACGCAGACCCCGGGCTCTGGAGCAGATGGCTGCTGTCCCCGCTCCGGTCACTCCCTGGGGATGCTCCTCCCGCGGCTCCCGGAGCAGCTGGGAGGGCTGAGGGACACGCAGGACACGTGCCCGCAGCTGCCACCCTGCCCGTGGCTCCCTGGAGTCCTGCAGGTGTCCCCTCTCACGGGGCTGGATGATGCCGAGTCCCCCGGGGTCAGCTCTGCTCTGGATCCTGTCTCTGGAATTGCTTGGATGGAAACCATCAGGCTCATTCCAGCCCACACTGATGAGCACGGGGGAAAGGAAGTGGATTCCAGGGGTTTGTCTGGCTGTGGAACAGCCTGTGTGGGTGTACAGGGGGATAAAACACACAAGGAGTCTAACACAAATCTGCAGTGAGATTTGGGAAGGTAACTTGGTGTGGGATGGAATTGTGCTGGATTTAGGCTGTCGGTACTGTCAGATATTTAATCACGTGTGACTGGGAATGGGGAGGAACAGAAAAATGACTTTATGGGGATATTTCCTGGGGGTGCTGTGCCCAACCTGGGCTCTCAGGAGCAGAGGACACAGCCTGCCAGATGCCTTCAGTCTCAAGGAGGGATTTTTCTCATCCCACTCTTTCCAGTTGTGAGGTGCTCAGACCCTGCTGAGAGTGGGAGCTGGCACTCGGCACGGTGGGCACAAGGGGCTCAGCATTAAAGGCAGCACTTCTCCTTCAGAAAATAATTAGAATCATCCCTTTTAATACCCCTCTCTGGATAATTCATTTCCTGATGTAGATTTATCCACAGGGATCAGCAGCAGGAGAATTTAACAGCGTGACCTCCTTCTGTGCGTTCCAGCACGTCGGTAAATCTCTGTTATTGACTTCCAAGGAGCTCTGCCTGCCCAGCCTGCTCTCCTCTCCCCTCCAGGATGGAGGAAAACGTGTCACTGGGGCAGGATCTGTGACCTGAATCCTCTTGGCAGCGATGACTCTTTAACTGGGATCACAGGGATGAGGAGTGTTCCTAGGAAACCCCCAGGATGTGCCAGGTGGCAAGGGGGGGCTTTGGGAGAAAGTTTTGGGAGGAAGTTTTGGGAGAAATCTTGTTTTCCCTTGCCTACAAGTGGAGTGTGTTCCCAGACTGCATCCTGAACTTTGAACTGATTCGATTTCCAAGAGGGAAGGAAGGATGTCTAATTGTTTAATTTCCACAATTAGAAAAATATTTATCGATAATTAGGAGTGATGGCAGCAATTATACTGGGATTAAAGCCAGGCTACCCTTCATCACCCGCCTTTCACTCAGGGACCTTATTTATTTCTTTCACCCCCCAAAAAAATCCATGTACAGCTGCATTGCTGCCAATAATGAATCATCCTTGTTCACTGCCTGCACAGGACTCATTAATCCAATGATGCCAGTGGTTCTAGGGAAGCTGCTGGGCACATCGTGTGGTCACTGGGCATGGGCAGGAGAAAATTTAATTTCAGTGGGTAGGAAAATGAAGCAGAGCTAAAAATCACAATAGCACTTCCTGTGCCTGTGGTTGAGAGCTCAGCGGTTCAGCCAGCCACACGCTCCCCTCCAGACTCCCTGGTGATTTTCCCTCTCATCACTCGTCCAAGGCAGGCATGGCTGAGTCCAGGGAGCATTTTCCAACAGCTGCTCTTTTAGGATGAAGTTGTACCAATTAATAAAATTGTGTGACCCTCAAAGTTTTCACTCTCAGAAGAAAATGTTGCATTTCCAGGTATTTTTCCCGTCTTAGAAGACCCGGGACCATCAGCATCCATGGTCTGGGGCTCAGTTTCATCCTCCTGTGGAAGCATCAGGGATCTGTGTCTGTGGCACTTCCAGTGTCACCTGGGCACTCTTGGAACATCCTTGACTGTCGGATCTCAGGATCTCAGTCCTGAGGTGCCG